CATGACATTCTTATCCCTAACGCCCACAAGGACAGAATCACCGGCATTGATATCAGCCCTCAATTCGAACCCCATCGTATTGAATTTGCCTCTTTCTCGGCAGATGGTAAGGTCAAGGTCTGGCAAGTCAACCTGGATATAAAGGATTACACGAACTTCCATCAGCTGAGCCTAGACTCAACCCCCGCTATTACCGGATCTTTCTCGCCGGATGGATATGCTCTCGGTGCAGCTAGCAAGGACGGCCTCTTTATCTGGAACACTGGACACCCTGGGGGTAATCTCATGTCTACCTGGACCGCAACTAGCCCCGAGGTGAAGAAAGAGGAGGCCGACCGCATGGCCAATGGTCAGAATGGACACCATGGACGGAATGGATATTCAAAATCAGATCCCCATCGGGCCCTCTCCTGGGATGCAGATGGGAAACGACTTGCCTATGGCTTCGACAAACAGGTAAGCTCCCTGGTCTGGTTTACCCGTGTCAATTCCCCCCATGCTGACAGTCCAATTTCCTTAGATGGCAATCATCAACTTGCAACGATGACAGAGCGGGTTTGAAACAGCCACATGAACACTCACGACTCATGCCCTGCTTGAACTAATCCGACAATCCCGCTTGAAAAGCCTTCTCAATCTCTTTCCCTCGAAGACATATCACCCTTTATGGTTTTCCCGGTTTTTTCCTTTTTTCCTTTTTGTCTTCTATGAACATACATTTTTCTTTAGAAAATGCATAATGCCATGCATTGCTTGGGACAGGTTTGGTGGGCACGGCGAATGACATGGACTGGCGACGGTGGATTTTTTTGCCTTTTTTTTACCCTAACCCATCTCAGGTGGGATCTGTGATCTCTAAAACTCACTTTTAGTGTCTGATAATCAAGCAAATACCCCCAATTTTCAAAGGAAGCCCTGTCCATTATAGGTACATCCATAGTCGCGACCTCCGGAGATAGGCCTCTATCGATAATCGATAGACCCCTCGACGCTAGTCCGCTTCGGAATGCGTATAGTCACGCGCTGGAGGGCATCTGAGCACACATGTGAGACGTGTAAGCTTTTTCAAGGTTCTAAGGTTTTCATTTCAGGAAAGCCATCCATAAGGAGGCGTAAAATATTAAGCCTACAATTCATATCATTGTTGTGTTAACTTTTCAAGTTTCACATCAGCAAACTGGGGCCCGCCGTCAGCATACCCACCCGTGGACAGTGTGAATCATTTTCCCGCGCCAACTCAATCCTTTCTCTTTACTATCCTTCGTTAATACCGGGCACTTATAACAAATGGCAACTCCTGTAAGTACACAACTGTCTTGCTTGCTGCTGTATTTCTCCACCCTTCGACGCCCGAGATTGTGTTTGCACTTATTGACCAATGACTCAGGCCGTCACCATCCCGTCCCTCGAGACGGCGCGAGAAGTGATCTCCAAGTCGAGGAACTCCGCCTTCCCTCCCAACCTACTTCCTGTCACGGCATCGATCGCTGCCGACCTCTTAACCCCGACATTGGCATACTTGAAAATCGCAGAGAAGTGAGTCATTGGGTTCTTTCCAACAATGGCGATAAGGCGGGGGGCATGGGATACTGGACAAGATTGCTGACTCGCAGGGATAGCTCACGGTTGTCATTCTTGTTTGAAAGTGCTGCTACCACGGAGACCATTGGGCGATACAGCTTTGTTGGTGCAGGTGGGTGATACCGGGAGTCTTTGGTCCGATTCCATCGCTTACCACTTCCTCCCATACAGACCCCAGAAAAGTCATCAAGACTGGCGAAGGCCATGGCCCAGCAGCAGATCCCCTCCCATACCTTGAGGATGAGCTTTCTCAGTTTCGCGTCGCGACAGTACCTGAATTAGTCCTTCCGCCCTTGACTGCCGGAGCGATCGGATATGTTGGATACGACTGTGTTAGATATTTTGAGCCCAAGACGGCGCGGCCGATGAAGGATGTCCTCGGAGTGCCCGAATCGTTCTTTATGCTTTACGACACCATCGTTGCATTCGATCATTTCTTCCAAGTCGTCAAGGTCATCACCTACGTTCCCATTCCCTCGGCGGATGCAGATATCGAGGCCTCATACCTCAAGGGCCAGTCCATCATCCAGAAGACGATTGAGAAGCTGCTCCAGGACCGCACCCCGCTTCCTCCCCAGGGCCCGATCATTCCGAACCAGGAGTATACATCCAACATCGGACAGGAAGGATACGAAGGTCACGTCAACCGATTGAAGCAGCACATCGCCAAGGGCGATATTTTCCAGACCGTGCCGTCACAGCGGCTATCACGACCCACCTCTCTCCACCCATTCAACCTCTTCCGCCATCTTCGCACCGTCAATCCCTCTCCTTATTTGTTCTATATCGACTGCCAAGACTTCCAGCTTGTGGGCGCCAGCCCCGAGCTCCTGGTAAAGGAAGAGCGGGGGCGTATCATCAGCCACCCCATCGCAGGCACAGTGAAGCGCGGCAAGACCCCGGAGGAGGACGCCGCCCTCTCCGAGGAGCTCCGCAGCAGTCTCAAGGACCGCGCCGAGCACGTCATGCTGGTCGATCTTGCCCGCAACGACGTGAACCGGGTCTGCGACCCCACGACAACACAGGTCGACCGACTGATGGTCGTGGAGAAGTTCTCACACGTCCAGCACCTGGTCTCCCAAGTCTCCGGAGAGCTGCGGCCCGACAAGACCCGCTTCGATGCATTCCGGTCTATCTTCCCAGCCGGCACAGTCTCCGGTGCACCCAAGGTGCGCGCCATGCAGCTTATCGCCGAGCTGGAGGGCGAAAAGCGCGGCGTCTACGCTGGTGCTGTTGGATACTTTGGATATAACAGCGCCAACGCAGATGGCTCTGCTGAAATGCCCGGTGCGATGGATACATGCATTGCGCTGCGCACTATGATGCTCAAGGACGGCGTGGCGTACCTCCAGGCTGGTGGTGGTATTGTCTTCGACTCGGACCCCTATGATGAGTACATTGAGACGATCAACAAGCTTGGTGCCAACATTGCTTGTATCAAGGGCGCCGAGGCGAAATACCTGAGCATGGAGAAGTAATAGACTTGGATTTTGGGATAAAACACAAGCACATTATGTTTCGTTTTTAGCAGGAGCGTCGGCCCCCGATGGTTACACAATGGGATATGGTGTTTTTGATGTGGTGACGAACAGCATTCTGAAGGTCACACGCTCTCTAACGTTGGATTTCGGTAGAATATCATGAAATTATACACAATTTATGTCCATCGCATTCTGATATCTGGTTTCAACGACTACGCAACATGTCAATTGCGAAGTCCCCATGTACGTTCCAAGGTTGTGCTCCCAACTGACACTCCATATGGGAAGTAGATCAAACATGAGCCGTGGAAACTCTCCTATACTGCACAATATAGTAGATTCAAGACTGTCATCAGTCGAGACGTCGATGTATATTGTAATATGGGGATGATATCGAAGAGTGTTATAGAACCCAAGTTAGATTGTTTGTTTGAAGAGGTTCTCCCCCCCTGTACTCTCTCTGCTCTCTCTGTGCTCTCTCCTCCCCTCTCTTCCCTCTCTCCCCTCTCTTCCCTCTCTCCCCTCTCTCCTCTGTCTCCTCTGTCTCCTCCTCGTCCTTAATTCAGACAACACCGAGCATTATGTGAATCAAGATCTTGATATTCGGCTCATTGATGCTCATGCACCGCAGCGGCTTCAATGAGCTAAGGACCTGGTACTAATGTACGGTCAATTACCTCTAAGATCCTGATCACTTCCCCTTTACTTTTTCAACCTGGATTTTTCGTCTTTTCATAGAGTGCAATGTTACAGCACTATAACCCTCGCCCTATACAATTGTCAGCCAACCAGGGCTTACTGTGAACCTCGGGAAGTTCCAAGGTTCGTTTGACCTTTCATTCCAGACTCTCTTCTCTCCAAGTGCTCGAAGTGCTCAATCGCATAACTAGATGGCTTCCCCGGGGCCATGACCTTGCCCGAGTCGCTCCTTCCGAAGATGCCCTTCAGTGGGAAACGTGTGACTCCCCTTAGTCCAGTCCAGTCAATTCAAACACGAATCCACATCTGGCTCTCCTTGGGCACTTCATCAATCACGCCGATGAATTTGCTGGTCCTAATACACTGCGAATTTATGTCTACTCTAGGCACTCTCATGATCCTGGAATGCTTGGCCGATCATGCGACCCTCGAGAATTATCCCGGATCAGTCTGCTACATCTTTGATACCTGTTCTGCTGTATCGGCTGTGGCTACGATCCGTGCCTCTTCGTGCATCACTGTATCATTATCCGTGGTTATTAACACCTTCGTTATCTTGGTACAACACAAGGTTTGAATTGATCGTTCTTTCATTTGCTACCATCCAAACACCAATGCATGATGATTTCGGGTTTATCCCGAGGTCAAAGGCTATACTTACTAAAGTTCATTTCACAAATGAAGCCTTTTTTGGCCCTTTCTTGCTGTCTGTCCGACAAACCTTGAAAAGGGAAAAACATATATATCTAGAAAGACCACCTAAAAGACCACCTAAAAGACATATAAAAAGAGTATTGGAGAAGGCTACCTGAGAAAATCACCAAGAAGATTAAGAAGGTTACAGTCGCACACAAGCGGCCGACTATTCTTGTGTGATACGAGTAGAATACCTAGGTATCATGAAACTTCACATAATTTATGCCCATCTCATTCTGATACATACTAGTTTCAACCACAACTCCTCGACTCCCCAGCGCCCCTAACAGACACAGTCCATATATAGGAGGTAGATCAAACATGAGCTGTTCAAGTACTTCTATGTTGCAGAACATAGAACCTCGAAGATATATACAACCGTGGGCCAACCAGAGCTTGGTTCGGACCCTTGTCGGTGCCAATGACGCAAAGAAGATAATCGTCATGGCAAAGTGAGATATGTAGATACAAATCTGATACTCACCCAATCCCTTCACTATCCTTCCATTCCGAATAATCTCATCTTTTAGAGTGATCACATAGATGGCATCAATAACACGACCAGTCGTCGCCATCGCCGGAGCCACCGGCCATCTAGGCAAGCACGTCACAACGGCCTTCCTCTCCTCCACCTTCCAAGACAAATTCTCCGAGATAATCCTCCTCTCAAGAAACGAGTCATGTCTCTTCCAACCCTCCTCGTCCCAAGCCGGCGTAAAACTCTCAACACGCCGCTACAACGAGAACAACCTCGAAGAAGCCCTGCAAGACATACAAATCCTCGTAAGCACAATCGGACCCGCAGGCCACGACTTTGGAACAAAGCTCGCAGACGCCCTCCCCGGAACCAACATCCGAGTCTACTTCCCCTCCGAATTCGGCGTCGACCACTACGCCCACGACTTCGCCCACTCGGAGTGGCAACAGAAGAAGAAACACTTCGCGAACGTGCAGCGAGTCGTCCCGCACACGAAGATCTGCCGCGTATTCAGCGGCCTAGTTCTAGAGGACATGGGGCCGGGGTTCGGTCTTGACACTCAGAACGGGAAGTATACTAGTGTTGGATCGTTCCGCACGCCGGTGTCTTTTACCTCGGTTGGCGATGTTGGTAGGACGGTTACTTCGCTGGCGACTCTACCCGCTGAGAAGATTCCTGATGTTGTTCATGTTGGTGGTGATTCGCGCTCGGTTGCGGAGATCGCGGGGATTATGGAGTCTGCTGGTGCGGGACGTATTGATATTGACTGTCTTCCGCATGAGAAATATAAGAAGGGGAATACTGCTGGGACTTCCTCGCGGCCGGAATCTTATGTATGGTTCTTGATGGGTGATGGGGGTATTACTCATACTGCTGCTTTTCTTGGGAACGATAATGAGATTGTTAATCCTGGTCAGCAGCTGTGGAGATGGAAGACTGTAGAGGATTTGGCAGAGGAAACTAGTGGGAAGCCTGGGAAAGATGTTGTCGGGCCTTGTCGTAAGTAGATTTTTATTTACATACATATACTTCTTTCGGGTATAAGCCACTGGATCACACCTGGACACAGGCATAGGCTGCTTCATTCGTCTAAAAACATACGCTTTCAGCCCTGGTGGATCATATTCAGCCACAACCTTAGAGCTTAGTGTCCAGGCAACAGCTCTCAGAGGTGAGTCGGCGAGGCTGTGGAAACGCCTAGTGAGGCTTAGTTCGTACCCCATACAAATCATCCCAAGGCTCGTATTGACCTCGGCGCTAGCAGTGTCACATTTAAGGTTCTCTCTCACATAGGGGCTTTTAGTTCCTCAGCTGGTGCTGCGCCCTGATGACTCAATATTTGAAAGTTTCCGACTTTCCAAGGTTCTTCCCTCTTTGAGTCACTTCCGACGACATCTTCCGACATCTTCAAATAAGACGAAATCCCCTCGAAACAAAAACAGAGCAAAAGCCACCAACGGCACAACATGTCTCCATCATTGAAATCTCGCGCCCAAGCCGCCATCTGGGGGGTCTGCGTAGCCGACGCACTCGGTGGCCCCGTACAATTCAAAGACCCAGGAACCTTCAAGCCGATCACATGCTTAAGAAAGGTCGCGCCCTTCGATCAACCAGCCGGGTCAGTTTTCACCTCATATGTGGGAAGTACATGCGACTAACCTGAACAGATCCTACTCCGACGACGGATCTATGACATTAGCCTTGGCATGCTCGTTCAACAAGTCCAACATGCAATACAACCACACGCTATCAATTCAATACTTTGTCGAGTGGCTAAGAAACGGCTATTTCAGCACTGTCAACCACTCGTGGGACGTAGGACGTTCCACTCGCATCTCCCTGGGACAGTGGGAGAAATACGGCATAGAGAAGGGCGATTTCGAACTTGCTCAGGTGATGGTCAATGGTAGATTGGAGTACGAAGAGTATTCTGGGAACGGGAGCTTGATGAGGATCGTCCCGATTGGACTGGTTTACTGGCGTGATCCTGGATTAGCGAGGGAGATTGCCAGAACACACGGCCAGATCACTCATCCTTCGCTCGCGTGTGTGGAAGCCTGTGAAGCGTATACGGAGTTGGTGTGCAAGGTTATGAATGGTTGGTGTTTTTTATTATGGTTTCTTTCAAGATTTGTCCACTGACGGGTTTATAGGCGAGACGAAGAAGCAACTCTTCCACGCGCTCTCCGTGTTCCCGTTTACTCATTCTGCTCTGAAAGAGCGCTTGTCGCTGTACAGATACAGGACAATCAGTGACTGGAAGGCAAAAGAGCCTAGCGATATGAAGAGTAGTGGGTGGGTTGTTGATACGCTGGAATGTGCTCTGTGGGCATTCTTCAAGTATGACACCTGGAAGGATGGGGCATTGGCAGTCGTCAATCTGGGTGGTGACTCGGATACTGCTGGGGCTGTTTATGGAGGTCTTGCGGGCTCATTCTATGGGTTTGACGCTATACCCGGTGAATGGGTGGATGGGATGCAGAATAAAGGGTTTATTGGGAGTATTGCTGGTGCTCTGTCTGATGGGATAGCTTGAGTTGGGACTTGAGATTGCACTACTGGAATGAACATCATAATTCCAAGGTTGTTCTACCATACCAATACCTACATAGGTAGCCAAAAGTACGTGTAAACAAACGTCCGTATACACATTAAGTCTTCTCGGGATAGTGGAAGTCTAATTATCTTCAAGGTTGAGGAGGCTGCTAGACTCTAAAGAAGATAAGAGATTACTAAAAGAACAGCATCGCGAAGAAATAAGCGCTTGCTAGGCACCGGATCACACGAGTCGCACTATGGGGGCTTGTTGGTGATAGCTACGAGAGCCCGTTTGATATGATTGATGCACCACCAAGCTATGGACAGATTGCAAATGATAGGCTTCTATAAAGAGAGGTGGTTTCGATCTATGGATATTGTTACATCTTGCCCACTATACTACCTACCTAGGTATTGCTCTACCTTTGATGGATGTACCTACCCGATTAAGCTCTTATATCATATCGCAGGCTCGTACCTTCCCTACAAGCCATTGCTTCCCCTGTAGTCTACAAAGCAATCTCGTAGCCCACGAAGAACTTCACGTTTCTCATCATTTTTCAAGCATAACTACATATCGTAAAAATGACTGTTCTAATCGTTTTTCCGTTTCCAATACTACCGCATTGCGGTGAAGGCCACCGGGTTCTCTCCTTCGAGCTCACTGAAACATCCGACAGCTCAAGCTTACCGAAGAGGACGTTGCCTTCACTAGTGACACTTTCAAGGCCTTTCAGGAGATCTTCCTCGGTATCCGATACCTCATCATCGACGAGAAGTCTATGGTCGGGCTTGATATGCTATTTTGGGTCGAGCAGCGTTTCCTCTGCCTGTAAGTTTGAACTCTCTTCAAGCGTCTGTTCAAGTCTCTCCTTTGGCCTCTTTTTTGGCCTCTTTCTGACACGTTCTTTTGGTCCCAGTGCCAATCCACCCCCGCAGCAAGGATGACTCCGTCCTCGTGGAGCTCCTCCACGTCGCCACTGAGAAGGGCCCGTTGCTTGCCCTGGAAGTGGATGGTGTTGCCCTCCTGTACCTGCTTGTAAGGCAGAGGTAGGATTGTTCGTTTCCTGGTGGGCACAATTCCGCATGGAACGGTATGTCACTTGGCAGGATCTATGCTAACGACATACTGACCATTGATTCTTTGGTATAGCCGGGCCCACGCGTTCGATGACAATGCGGGCGGCGGCGGCGCGAGCGGTAGGGGGCCCACTGGGGGGGCCACTGGGGGCGGCACTGGGGGGGGGGGGCGTTGAACTTGAGGTATAATTATGAAACTGGTTGGGTGGGTGGGATTTTTTAAATTATGATATCAATACGGTTGGGAAGGGAGTGCTGGCCCTCATTGTATATAGCCAGCCGGCCATTGTATATACATAGGAGATCTTGGACCTGCAGTCCAATCGACTGTTGCCTGACCACGACCAAGGTCCTGACACAGCCTAAAACCGCCACATGTGGCGGAAAACATGCCATGTCATTTTTATTTCCTATTTCTGATAGACCCTGCAAGAATTGGAATTGGCTCTGATAGTATATGTCAAAGAAGATGAATATGTAGAAGTCGAATAGTGAATTGATTATCATGGGCTATATATAGAAGGGGCAAAAAGGAGAAAAAGTAAGATCACGATTAGACCGGACCTCCGGCTAGGACTGGACATGTCAGGACATGTCAGGACATTTAAGGGATCTTGGAGCTGTTATTTGTTCTATGTCTGATAATAAATGGAATTGAAAAATCTTCTAGGCTGAAAGGTTCCAAGTGTACGGAGTAGATCTTAAACAGTGCCAGGGTGTATAAGTTCCCAATCTGCTTCGTCACTGCCAAGCCCTCTCATTCCCCCCCGTTCGAGCCCATCCCCTCTCCTCTCTTTCACTTTTCACCTTTCATCCGTTGACTGTCGACTATTGTTTGCCAATATTTCCTTTTCAGGCAATCTGACCCTCAATCCTTTTAACCTCTTTTAGACCAATCTGCCTGTACCTTTCAGAATAGTCACACGTTTGACCATCTTAGGCCGCGACACGGAGAAAGAGGGCTGTATGTGCTTGGCAGTCTACTACTCTTCTACAATAATCCTTCGCATCGGTTTCCACCCGACTACGATCCGTTCCCTTTACCTTAAAACAGCGACCGTCGCCTCACCGCCACCATGTCCAAAGTCGTGCGGAGCGTGAAGAACGTCACAAAAGGATATTCCTCAGTGCAGGTTAAGGTCCGAAATGGTATGAGTCGATTCCACTATATCAAACTTCCGGGCGACCATCGAGTCGCCGCCGCATGTGCAGAACTGCCGTTGCCACGGCTTGCTCCCCCTGTCTTTTCCCGGGGTGGCTTGCTGCATTGCGCCCATGCACCCCACATACATTGTGAACCATGTTGCTAACTTACTTTTAAAGCCACTAGTAATGACCCTTGGGGCCCTACGGGCACCGACATGTCCGAGATTGCCGCCATGACTTTCGGGAGGTGAGTTGTGTCTGTGAACAACCGCGTGGGCACCGCTAATACCATTTACACAATAGTCCAAACGAGTTCTACGAGATCATGGACATGCTTGACAAGCGACTCAACGATAAGGGCAAGAACTGGCGCCACGTGCTGAAGTCACTGAAGGTCTTGGACTACTGTCTCCACGAAGGCTCGGAGTTGGTGGTAACGTGGGCCCGGAAAAATGTCTATATTATCAAGACTTTGCGCGAGTTCACATATGTGGATGAGGAAGGAAGGGATGTTGGCCAGAACGGTAAGTTGTCTCTTGAAATTCAGAGGGGTCGCAAAATTGACAGGTTGGTGTTCTGTAGTTCGCGTCGCAGCAAAGGAATTGACTGCGTTGGTACTGGATGAAGATCGCTTGCGCGGTGAACGGTCAGATCGCAAACTCTGGAAGACTCGCGTGAGCGGACTCGATGAAGGCTACGGAAGCTCCAGCATGGAACCGCCGCGCAGAGACCGACGCCGACGCAACGGGGACGACGACTCCGACACCGAATACCGCTTAGCCATTGAAGCCAGCAAGGCCGAAGCCGAGGAGGAGCGCAGACGACGTGCCAAGGAGACAATGGCAACTCAGGATGACGAGGATCTTGCCAAGGCCATCAAGCTTAGCAGGGAAGAGGAGGACCTCCGAAAGCGCGAATTAGAAGAGAGCAACGCCCAATCTCTCTTCGACGACACCCCGGCTCAAGTCCAGCCAACCGGCTACAACCAGGGCTACCAACAGCAAGGTGCTGTGGACTGGTTCGGCAACCCGATCAACCCGCAGCAGCCTATGACAACTGGTTACTTGAACAACCAGTATGCGCAGCCGACAGGATTCCAGAACCAGCCCACCGGCATGAATAACCCTTACGCCAACGGCTATCAGGCGCAGCCCTCGGCCTTTGATCAGAACCCTTACGGCCAGCAACAAAACAACCTTTTGCAACCGCAGGCCGCTCTTCAACCCCAGCACACCGCATTCAATCCTAACAACCCTTACGGGTGGATATCTTCTCGCAACAGCAGCAACAGCAGCAGCAACAGCAGCAGCAGCAGCAGCAGCAGCAGCAGCAGCCCCAAGAGAACTATCAGACCGCAGGAAGCAATAACCCTTGGGCCGGGAACCCATCCCAGCAACTGCAGCCCGCAGATGCCCTCAAGCCCATGCCGACAGGATCAAACAATCCCTTTGCTCAGCGTACTCAAACACAGTTCAACAAACCTGCACAAACAGGCCCGCCGACACTTAATTCCTTGTCGGAGGACCGTGCAACGAATCAGTTTGCCCAGAACAATGCGCAGTATGGCCAAAGCTCGCAGTTCACCCAACCCACTCAGCCCAACCCGATCGCCGGCTTCCAAGCCCCACAGCCACCCAAGAGTACCCCGCCACAGGACCCTCATCATGCTCGTCTCAACGCCCTTCTCGGGTCTGGCGAAGGCCAGGATACCTTCGGCAACGTTGGAGATCTCCGAATCCCCGCACAGCACACAGCACCTGGCACATTTGTCAATTCTGCTGGTCAGGGTTTGGACCGCCTACACGCTACGCCTACCGGAAACCCATTCTTCAATCAACAATTCACAGGCATGCCGCAGCAGACCGGCTATGTGCAGCAGCAGCAACAACCTGCTAATAACAACCCTTGGGGAGGCCGGCAGCAGCAGCAGCCTGGCGGCGGTAGCCTGATTGATCTGTAGTCACTGTTCCATGGAGCTCTTCTTTATTGATTTCTTCCCAACTTCGCTAAGGCCACTCACGCGGATACCATCTATCTCATTTTTTCTGTTTCTCGTTCAATCACTCGGGGCTTGGTCGTCGGTTTTTACCCGGTCTCATTGTTCTTGTTTCCCTTCATTTCTCTCCCTATCTTTACCCGATACTCGCCACAATCTTCCTGCATCCAAGAATTGTGGGTTGGAGCTGTGAAGGAAGGCTAAACTCAAGCTTTCTTTTCCTTCATGTCCTCTATAGCCTACATTTGGATGTTTGACCTGGGTCCCTCATCCCGTCTTGTATTCTCCCCGACACTTTTCTTTGCTTCCGCCATTGTCTGCCCATTAGGATATCCTTCTCATTTCAAACCACTTGTTGACATATTACCAGACTCCCTCATACTGCATAGTTCTAGCCCAAGTATGGTTGCAGGTAGTCAAATTGATTGATACTAGCTGAGATACTCCAGTGTCTGTGATCAAGGTTTTCATGACGTCTCTAAAAATGACTATGTTTTGCGCCTCTCTTCTCGTAGTATTGTTAGATGTCAAGTGCAAGACCAAAACCAAAGCAACACAGAAGAGCGAACCTAGTTACCACGCCAAATCATAATACCATAAGGATCACGATCAGCCTCACTAACAGAAACCTCGACAGCGCCCTGATCCTTGGCAAGGTTCCGGATAGCACCAATCTCGTCATTCCCAGTCTCTAGGCTGGCACTTTGCTCCCACTGCTTCGTAACCTCATCCAGCAATTTGGGCTGCATAACCGAACGCAGATACCCACGCTCTGAGTTAGTATGCGAAAGCGAAATAACAACAGACCCACGCTCCGTAGCAGCCAAAGCCTCATGGTGACTCATCTCACCCGTCAACAGGAGACCAGGCAGCTCCCCATCACCCTTGAGTAGCACACCCGATCCCGAGCCGGGACACATGCCCACCGTACGGATAGAGATCTCATCAACGGATTTTCCCTGCGGGACGGCGATGGGGATACCGCCCGGCAGTCCGATTCCACGAGCGATGTTGTCGATCAGGGTAGTGAGGGGCTGGTTTTCGGCGAATGTCACCAGCCGGCCGGCACCCGCTGACTCGAACCCTTCGGGGATTGAGGCTGGTGGGGATGGGTGGATTGTGGACCTGGTGTGCGCTGGTCCGGAGGTTTGGGCTTGGACGGTGGGGATTGGGGAGTCTGGGTAGGTTGGGGCGGAGTACATGCTCGAGTTGCAGGATTTGAGGGTGGATTTGGGGGTTTGTGCGGGGTTGATGTTCCCTGTCACTACGTCGCAGAGCCAGTCGGCCATGCCGCCGGGGACGGTGTCGACTGCTGTGTGGGGGGAGTAGACGCTGATTCCATGTTGGGCGAGGCGGAGGAGGGATCGTTGTTGGGTGTCGGCGAAGGTGAGGGATTTCAGGCCGCGGAAGATGATTGGGTCTGTATGATTGTGTTGGGTTTTTGGGTCCAATTGCAAGTATACTGACTCCTTGGGTGAGACTTACGGTATGCGACGATGACCGAGTTGCGGTTTTTAATGGCCTCGTCGGCAACGGCTGTGGTCAGGTCAATTGTGAGGAGGACCGAGTTCTTCTGTATCCGGGATTTGTCGAAAGGAGCTTCGAGGAGCACTACAATTGAACGAGTCAGTACATTGCAACAGCCAATTGAAGGATATTTCGAAAAGAAAAGTAAAACGAAGAATCTTACATCCTGTATTATCGAAGCTCTTGTCTGCCAATGCCTCCGGGTAACTGCATATACGAGGTTAAACGAAGCTCCATACAATGCGGGGAGCTTGTGAATAAGTGGGGGGTGAAATACAGCTTTCTCATGGAGCTCACCACAGCATTAGTGAATGGCGAGCATTCCGAAGATATCATCGACGCAGACATGACAGAGTATCGACGTGTAGCAGCGCGCAGAAAATTCATAGAGAGTCGTTCACCTTGAAGATAGCACTGGAGAACAGCAACGGAAAATGATAATGAGCCACACACGTGCACGCACCAGCCACAGCCGACCGGAGGCTCTGAATTTGTAATGAGAGCAACTCCCATACTTCGCGATAACCTCGGGTTTGGCACTCTATCTCCTCTTGTCTTTTCTCCCTTTCCGTTTCAGACCATACTTGATGTTCTCCCGCACTTCCTCTCTTACCGTCCTGAGCAGAAGCTGCCGCTATCTCCTCCGCCCTCACAATAATATCCAGCGGGCTTCATTTTCCCTCACCGCGCGCTCCCACGCCGCCATCAACGCCGCCATGGCCGACACATCTGGTATCACCGCGGACTCGCTGAAGAACAAGTTGACTGAGGTGCTGCAGGCGCAGCATGTGGAGGTGGAGGATCTATCTGGTATGGAATTGACATTGAAATTGAAAATGGGAATGGGCATGGGAATGGCGCTATGACGTCGAAGCATTCTCTTTTTCTTTACCCTTGTTGATCCCTCGCTGACGGTCTGTCTTTTCGGGTTAATATAGGCGGGTGCGGACAGGCTTTCCAGGCTGTAATTGTTTCCCCTCAATTCGAGAGCAAGACTATGCTTGCTCGACACCGGCTCGTCAACTCCGCGCTCAAGGCCGAGATCGCTGCTATTCATGCTTGGACACCCAAGTGCTATACCCCCGAGCAGTGGCAGGCTCTGCAGCAGTAATTCATCTCTCCACAAGAGGCGGGGTTATGATGAACTATGGCCTTCCAGAGAGATATTTGGAAGAAGCTGGACCACACCAAAGGTTGAGGGTTTAGACTTGGTTTAGGAACGAAGAATCGGCCATTGATTTCTAATTGCTTGATTCAACTATATGCTTGCCTATTTAATTTTGGCATCGATTTCTCAGGCGTTGGCCGGGTTGGAAAGGATGGAATATTGTACACTAAAATCCTGCGCTACGACGTGCCGTTCAGCAGGGACCAGAAATAAATCCTGTGCATGGTATATATTTTTCTTCTACTATTTGCAAGGAGTTTAGAGCTCTATCTAGGGATGACTTTAACCGAGCACCTTCTCGGCAGCGGAAACTTTGAAATGATGTTAGCATAGAACAATGTGCTTGACAGAAGAGAGACATACCATCCAGACCGGTGTTGTCAGGCTCGACGAAAGCCTCCTTGACCTTTCCATCCTCGACGAGGAGCACGTAGCGCTTGCTGCGGTCATTGCCGAAGATGGCGCTGCTTTCGAAGCTGAGGTCGAGCGCCTTGGTGAACTCGCCGGAGGGGTCACCCAGGAAGCGGATCTGTTCAAAATACAATATCAGCTCTGTCGCTGGTATCAAAATACAACAGAAAAGAAAGAAAAGAAAACTTACACCGCTCTTGCCGGAGGGATCGAGGGAATCAGCCCAAGCCTTGGTCCTATATGATAGCTTTGTCAACAAATGTTCCAACACTCCCACGCTTAACTCGACATTGATACTTACACGAAGGGGTCATTGACAGAGATGACGAAAGCCTGACCAGCCTCCTTGAGCTTGGGGTGGTTAATGAAGCCGGGAACGTGGGTGCTTGAGCACGCAGGGCCTTGAAGAATGTCAGTCCCAGCAGGAGTTTTTGTTTTCTATCGATGTAGGATGGATTCACGTACTGAAGGCAGCGGGAGTGCCAATGATGACAGCCTTGTTCTTGATCTCCTTGGCCAAATTGACCTTGTTGCCAGGGGAGTTCTCGACCAGGACGTCGAGGTTGGGGATGGCGTCGCCCTTTTGCACGAACGCGGGCGCGGTGCTGTGGAAGAGGGAGGCTTGCGCGCGAACGCGGGGGATGTTGGTTGCGATACGGCGGGCGAACATGGTTTTAATTTGGTGATGGGATTGGGTTAATTGAATCAAAGGGAGAGTGGTAAAAGGTGTATTCCGTACGTTGTTGTGAAAGAATGGGGAAGAGCTAGGGCGGTATGTCGAGCTTGGGAGATTTCGTCATGGCCGTTGCGTGCTATTATTTTTAGGCACTCTGTTTACACCTCACTATTTACTCCGTACATATGTTGTACTCTGTATGTACTCCGTACCTTTTATATTGATACTATTTGCTTTATTTTCATCTATCCATACATTGACCTTATTTCATGCACATCATCGTTGATTGGCACAGAAAGTCACTCTCGGCCTGTGGATACCAGTGCGACCTGCGGAGGCTATACCGCAGGTACGAAGCAACCTATATGAGGTGTCAATAATAAATGTTCTCTTTTTAAGAACAGGGCAGACCAGCCATCTTCGAATCGGATGATATCAAGTCACATCCTATTCCTCCATGACGCAGTGGATCCTTGCTCCGTCACACGGTTCACACAGTTCACAAGGTGGATCATCAACCCCCTGCTGAAGGCTGCAGTCATCTTCTAGTTCAACATGAAGTTCGGCGTTAACACTGTTTGAAGAACAATGGACTTGACTGGCAGAGCTTAGATGATATGAGTGACCTGTGTGCTTTTATCATAACGACGGTGTGCTACAGTGGAGACTCGTGTTGGGCATTTTGAGCACTATCCGAACTAACTTCGGTGGCTTTGAGACCCTGATGAACCAGTTCACAGAGTGTTAACAGCGTTAATAGGTAACTCTTGAATGACTTGGATTTATAGGCTATTCTTGGATCATAAAATATCATAAAATATCATGATGCCATTATTCTATACGGAGTCGGTATCTTTTACTTAATATCCGGTCACGGTAAAAGTGGGTAAGTCCGATTAATAGGTTCATGAAAAGCAACCTGTTCAAACCCCGAGCACATGCTATAGGAGAACTGAGACACGCAGAGAATGGCAGGGCTGATCACTCAATGTTATATAAAACTTATTAAAAAGCGTTTTCAGTGGAGCATATACTGCTTATCCCCGTTATTTTGTACAAAGACTTGAAAAGACTTGAAAGACTTGACCTCTCTTTGCTATCTCTATCTCTTCTGAATCCACTCTACACTAATTCAATGTCTCACCATTTTCATCAGGTCATTGAGGGGGAATGCATGCTCCCCCTCTGCGCACTGACACGATCCCCTCCATGTCTGTCTGTCCTGCATCTCTTTTTTAATAGCGAATAAGATCTGGTTATGAAGTTTCTCTTTCGTGTTTTCTAAGGAAGTTTGTATACGATACTTGGCTAGTACCTCTCTCTATATTGTGTGTGTGACATACTGGAATTTTGCCCCTCGTGATTGTTAGGATATTCAAGATACTCCTTGCATTAAGAAATGTGAATAGGATCAAGTATTAAATATACATATAAACATATATATATATAAATACATATATATGAACATGTAATCGTATATATAAAAATAACCAAAAGTAACCTGGGAAGACACTACCTGGGACATCTGGACACAACCTGAGAGTCCTTGTACCAGCCAGTACCCTCCGTAACTTTGGTACTTGGCTCTACCGCTAAACCCCCAATTCATTTTTTTTCCTTCTTCCCACCCTCCATGAAAAAGGTCTGGTCTTCTCCCCTTTTCTTTCTTTTCCAGGATCAAAAAAACGAAAGCCCGTTATATTTGCAATCTTTTTTATCCGTTGGGAATCAGCCAGATCCTGTTCGACCGGTCGCGACCCGTCTAGCCCAGCATGGACGGTGGCCAGACCTCTTCCAATCCCGCCCCCGCTGGGAACTCCAGTGATTTTGTGAGTGATCCCTTCCTACATACGGACTCGATATTGTTGTTATACATCTTTACTAACAATATGAATAGGTACGCAAGTTGTATAAGTGAGTCTTTGCTCTTCAAATCTCAAATCTCCCTGGCCTTTAATCTAATGTTTCTAGAATGCTGGAGGACCCAACCTATGCGTCAATCGTACGCTGGGGTGATGAAGGGGATTCCTTTGTGGTATTGGAGGTAATGCGCCCGTGGATTTGTGCGAAACAGATTCGGTCTCTTTGTGCTCGGCTAACTCGAATCCCAACAGTGTGAGAAATTCACCAAGACCATCCTACCGAAGCACTTTAAGCATAGCAACTTTGCCAGTTTTGTGCGCCAACTGAACAAATACGACTTCCACAAGGTTCGACAAAACAATGAAGAGAATGGCCAGTCACCATACGGACAAAATGTAGGCACCTCTCCCAGTCGAAGGTTAAATTGGAGGTCTCACACAAATCACAGGCATGGGAATTCAAACACCCCGAGTTCCGCGCAAACAGCAAAGAATCGCTCGACAACATTCGAAGAAAGGCACCCGCGCCACGAAAACAAACCCAAACCAGTGATGACTCCGTACCCACACAACAAATCGATCTTCTTAACCAGCAGATTGTGGCGCAACAGCAGCAGATCCAACAACTATCAGACCAATATGCCCGGCTCACAGTGGATCATCAGCTCATGTTACAGGAAGTGATGCGAGTGCAGAAGACGGTTTTGAACCACGAGAATGTCATTCACCAGGTGATGACCTACTTGCTGTCGGTGGATGCGCGCCAGCGCCGAGATAGCAAGGCCGTGCCTTTCCAAGCAACCGGAACAACAATGAGCCCTTCCCAGGTTGGTGCGGTGGATGATGAACCCTCCTCGCCCCTCCAGCAAGCCTCGAAGCTCCTGAATGACATGAACGCCGAACTGCAATTCAATATGAACGGTGTCGACTCGATGAACGATCCTCAAAAGGCCGTCGTTTCAACTCCCACCTTGGACCCGAATGCGCGAAATGGTTCGCTCCGCCCCGCGACAGCTGCACCACCAAACCCTGCACTCGTTTACCCCAAGATGGCCGGCGATCTGGAGCAAGTGGTGTATCCCGTGGGGGCCACAAACGGCATCGATCCCATGTATAGCGAGCATATCAACAATGTTCCGTACCCAATGCCCGCCAAGCAGGAGATTGATACCTCGGATGCTCGTCGGCAGTTCCCCGACAACCGGAAGAAGAGCACGAATGTGGATCCTGGGTGGGTGCGCAGCCCACAGATCCTCTTGGTTGAGGACGATGCCACTTGTCGGCAGATTGGTGGCAAATTCCTCTACTCTTTCTCGTGTGTTATTGATACAGCGGTACGTCATCAGTGTTGTCCCATTGACTAGCACAAGCTAATATTCTCAATAGTTTGACGGTTTGGAGGCTGTGAACAAAATCCAAGGTGGCTCAAAATACGACCTCATTCTGATGGACATCATTATGCCCAATTTGGACGGTGTATCCGCGTGCCATTTGATTCGCCAATTTGATCGCACCCCGATCATCGCCATGACCTCGAACATCCGAAGCGACGACATCCAGCTCTATTTCCAACATGGTAAGAAAAACCTCAAAAATTGAATCAAGGTCTTCCACTAACCCGTTCCAGGAATGGATGATGTTCTTCCAAAGCCATTCACCCGCAAAAGTCTTCTCGATATGCTTGAGAGACATTTGGATCATCTCAAGATTTCGCCACAGAACCCAGGAATGGAGCCAGTCCGGCCTTCCGCAGCCGCTGTGACCATGGCCGCTGCAACTCAAAGTTCAGCAAACCAGTCAATTAAAGAAGACAGCTCTCCAGGCCAATCGCCCGCTGGATCAATGAACAACTGGCAATCGCCCGGCCAGTTCCAAAATATGCAGGCTGTTGCACCGAACATGCCAGCAGTTCAAGGGCCATATGTTACCGCTCAACCGGCCGCCTACACTGTTGACCAGAATGGCGTCCAGTACCCAGCACCACCAGTAGGAGTCCCAACCGCGGGCGCTCCTATACGTCCCCCGCATCGCCGTCAAATCTCCGAAATGGGCGGTGCCGATAACCCCAACATGCCGAAACGACAGCGCATGTACTCTCAACCCCAACCCATGCTTGCCGTGCAAGCTGGCCGACCTGGCTAAAAACGAAACCCTGACCATTTATCCCTTCATTTTTACTCACCTTTCCGCCTGTCCATTGACTCACGATTCCACTTGTCTATAACGAGGTTCGACTTCGAAATTCCAAATCGTACATTTTGCTACTCTTCGCGGACGTCTTGAATCGCCGCAGTTGTCTCCCCACCTTTTACAGGTTCTGGCGTTGGGTTTGATTTAATTTGGGTGGCGAACTGTGTGCGATTTTATATACGTCAGCTATATCCCTCAGCTCTATCCCCCGTGGGTTCATGCATTCACCGGAGAGGTTGTTTCGCCAGGTACATATTTACAAACATATTATTTTATTTCTCTCCATTCTATGTGCCTATGTCCAGGGGGAATTATTGGGTCCATCGTTCCAGGGCTCGTCTTGTAAGGGCTGCGTATATGAATATATTATGGAACATCTGAAGGCTACTAGTATTTCCTAATAACCCTATTTCTAAGGATGCCTAGCAATAGACTACCCGGACTGTATAGTAATTGAACTGAAGCACTAGTATATACTAGATACCTGGTATCCCCACATCCCACCTGCACAAGTATCTGCATCTCCAATTTTCACGGGAACTGCAGGGGTAGAAACAAAGGAAGGTCTAGACCGAATTCCAAACGTCTAAATATTTAAATGTTTAAAATAGTTCAACTCCTTCCAAGGTCCAGGAGGGCCCAGACCTTGCGAGGAGTTCTGGGCCTCTTTGGATCTTTGTGGCGCCACGTTTGCTGCTTAATTTGTTTGTTTGGTTTGCATTGCCTGTTCCTATACAACATACATTACATTCACGTTCACTTTCTGATATACCTGGGCACACTTTCTACCTACATTTCGTTTGTAACCATTATACGATAAAGGACTGGAGTAGCCTTTGAAGTCTTTCCTCCTAGCCAATGATCAACATGATTCTTTCTCCCGATTTAGTCGATGCACATCCTGATGATGAGTCCTGGGTGAGAGGTAAAATCCATTGCTCTTGGACACATCTGAAGTGATTCCCACTGTTTCGAGGTTCCACCCTACACAAATTTTCTGCCCAGGTGGCAAACACCATGATGCCTGTGATGTAAGTTTCGGACACGAGATCTGTGAGAAAACCGCCGATAACGGATCTGAATGCCACCTGGGCACTTTAGTTGGTTATCGTGGGACCATTCTTGACTGGAAAGTACACCAGCAAGTGCTACACAACAATACCTAGGTATCACGGGAGAGGTAGGAGTTCATCGTGATCATCAGATGCGGATGATCGTGCTTGCCCTAATCGACAGCACCGAGTCGATACTTCCCGAGGTCATCCCGGTCAGCCTTATCTCACGCCATCTTTTATACAACAAACCTATAATCATGTTATAGCGGTGAGAAGGATAGGATGGATACGTGATGTTCCATTGGTGTCCACCTGCGGCAAATCAGGGCTTTTTGCAATAGTCGTAGGCCATGACATGCATGAAAGCACAAGGCTGTAGAGACTCTGTTCAGGAGGCGCAGGTATAATTATCCTGCATTTTGCGTTATGCACAGCATGATGGCGAGGACATGACTATGGACTTGATCTCATGGCAAAAAGGAAGTGGACTTCTTGGCTTATAGAGAATGTGAGTTACACACCTACAACATAAAGAGATACTAGGTTTGTACAGGGAGGCGCAGATCAATAGACGAAAGGTTTGGCAAGGAATACGACAGACAGCGTCACCTCGTCAGTCTATAGTTCTATCCCAAATGAATGGAACTACCAAGCTTGTGCTATTGATAGAGGACTGTAGACATTGCAAAAGCCTTTCACTGAAAATTGATTGATATAATCTTGTAGGTCGTTACTCATGATGCTAGAATCCAGGATAAAACCAACCGAGAAAATCAGAAGAGGAAAAGAACAATCCATATTGAAAACCCAATAAATCGCTTATGCTTTCTTCTCGGCGTCCGGCGCTTGGGATGAATCACCAGTAGGTTCAGACTCTGCGTTGCCTGCTTGGGGCTCTGTAGAAGCACCTTCGTTCTTAGTTTCTTCCCCTTCTTTCGGTTTGGTGTCCGCAAGGACAATGTCACCGTCATTGTCACCAGTTGGTTCAGCCTTCTGTTCTGTTGCTTGTGTAGTAGTGGTAGCGGCTGCAACCGGGACCTCAGCGGCACCGTCCGCGGCAAGACGCATCTCGACGCCTTTGCCGTCTTGCAGACCCATGTCTTCCACGCCGAGGACGATTGGACCACGGGCATGAGGGACTTCGTCAGATGGCTCTGGTGAGGTGGAGGCAACCTTTTCACCGGCTTCAGTGGTTACTAGGGTTGTGTTGACCGGCTCCTCAGGCTGTGTAGGTAAAGGTTCAGTACCTGGGGAAATGTTAGTGAACAGGAAACCAGTGGCTCGGTAATAATGGATAAAAGTACCCTCAACTAGCATGCCTGCATCTCCATTGGTATCATCGCCTTCGAACGAGGCATTAGTTAACCACGGGATCGGAGTAAGTAGTGCGCCGCCTAGAGATTCATCGCTCCCAAGACCCTGGGCAAACTCCGGGGCCATATATACCCCGCTGCCGTTGCCAGGAAGCAGCCCGTTCGTTTGAACATTCGTCACAGCCGGCGTTTGGAATGGGAAAATATCGGCGGAGCTTGTCACTGAGACAACGCGATCGACAGCACGTAGGTATGCGGGTAATGTCCTATAGTGCTTGGTCGGGTAGAGGACCAGCTCTGCGAGTCTCTGAATGGTGTGTGGAGGTTTATCCTCGAAGAACGATTTAATCGACGAGCGGATGGCGCTCAGAAGAAATGCAAGCGGGGGCGGAAGCCGGTCATCCGTGCTCGTACTAGATGGCTGGGGCTGTGAGTCTGGCACTCGCTCACTCGACGGGGGAGAGCCAGTTCGCGCTGCCTGGGGTGAAGTCTGGATGTCGGCGGGGGAGGTGTTTTCCTTGTTGCTGCTTTCGGGCGGGATGGAATTTGCCTGAGAAGAATGATTGGGAAACGAAGGCTGGCCGATGGGTTCAGGGCGCACTTGAGGCATGGGGAATACATTGTAAACGATCTGGAGCTACTGGTCAGATAAGTCGGTCAGGGGCATCGAGTATAGCGCACATGTTCCAGTCGCTCAATCAGAGGCCCAGCCATGCCGTTCCATCTCTCTCTATATCAGTGCGTTAGCCTCAGAAGCCTATGGGGATCTTGGCATGACAGCTTCACGTACAAATCCAGCGGGCCGCCATTGGCGGCTATTTGGGAGAGCTTCCTCGTCTGTAATTTTTGATATCAGCAAGGCCCATTTTAACTCAGACTGAGACTGCGACTGTGATGGTCAACCTACCCAGAGACATTGTCTAGTCAGCTGTGCATGGAGAAACAGAGAGTCGAAGCTGCGACAAGGGCGCGGCAGTCGACATGTGTGATTGGCCTGAGCTTATCGATAGCGCACGTGACCCTCCGCGAATTTTCGGAGTTGAGGGGCACCGTCGATCCCTCGTTTACCATATCTCGATCAATTGACTCATTTATCCCTTCGATCCGACATCATGTGGAACTCGCCTAAGGTCGGAATCCTCGGCGGTGGCCAACTGGGCCGCATGCTCGTCGAGTCCGCCAACCGATTGAACATTCAGGCCAATATCCTAGACGCCGACAACTCTCCCGCCAAGCAGATCAGTTCTCACGATGGCCATGTGACCGGCTCCTTCAAGGAGCCTGACGCCGTGCGCAAACTGGCTGAGTCTTGCGACATCATTACTGCCGAGATTGAGCACGTCGACACCTACGCTCTTGAGGAAGTTGCGTCGAAGGTACGAGTGGAACCCAGCTGGCAGGCTATCCGGACAATCCAGAACAAGTTCAACCAAAAGGAGCACCTCCGCAAATATGGAATCCCTATGGCCGAGCACCGGGAGCTGGTGAACAACACGCCCGAGGAATTGGCTCAGATTGGAGAGGAGCTGGGCTACCCGATGATGTTGAAGTCGAAGACTATGGCATACGACGGACGTGGTGAGTCATACACGATGCCCAGAGTATGTACACTTTTGCTAACAGTATCAAGGAAACTTCCGCGTCAACTCCAAAGAAGATATCCCCGAGGCCCTCGAGGCTCTGAAGGACCGCCCGCTCTACGCCGAAAAATGGGCATACTTCAAGATGGTTAGTACCGAGAGTTGGAACATCACATCATGCACGTCTCTAATATAACTTGTCTCCAGGAACTCGCCGTCATGGTCATCAAAACCAAGGACGACGTCCTCTCCTACCCCACCGTTGAGACTGTTCAAGAGGACTCAATATGCAAGCTGGTGTATGCGCCAGCCCGCAACGTCCCCGATTCCATCAACCAGCAAGCGCAAGCTCTCGCCCGCAAAGCCGTCTCCGCCTTCGAAGGCAAAGGCGCTTTCGGCGTGGAGATGTTCCTCCTAGAAGACAACAGTCTCATGCTCTGCGAGCTTGCAAGCCGAATCCACAACTCCGGCCACTGGACCATCGAAGGCTGCGCTCTGTCCCAATTCGACAGCCACATCCGCGCGATCCTCGACCTGCCCATCCCACCCAAGAGCCTTGAGCTTCTCCAGCCCTCAATCATGCTCAACATCATCGGCGGCGCAACCCCCGACTCCCACCTCAAGGCCACTGAAGCGGCCCTCTCCATCCCCAACGCGAGCATCCACCTCTACAGCAAGGGCGCCGCAAAGCCTGGCCGCAAAATGGGCCACGTCACCGTCACCGCGGCGACTATGCACGAAGCCGAGACCATGATTCAGCCCCTCATCGATGTCGTTGACACCATGCGCGCCCAGCGCACGGATATCAAGACCAAGGCTGCCCCATCCGGTCCCTCCAAGCCCGCACCCTCCGTCGCTGTCATCATGGGCTCCGACAGCGACTTGAAGACCCTCGTCCCGGGCCTCAAGCTGCTGCGTGATTACTTCGGCATCGAGCCTGAGGTTGAGATCACCTCTGCCCACCGCACGCCCGATTACATGGCCGAGTATGCGGGCCAGGCTGCTTCGCGCGGCATCAAGGTGATCATCGCTGCCGCCGGTGGCGCTGCTCATCTTCCCGGTATGGCAGCCGCTCACACTGCCCTGCCTGTTATCGGCGTGCCGGTTAAGGGCAGCTCGCTCGACGGCGTGGATAGTTTGTACAGCATTGTGCAGATGCCGCGTGGTACGTTATTTTCCGTTTTCACTCACCTATCCCTGATATATGTCTAACATTCCGTAATAGGTGTCCCCGTCGCCACTGTCGGCATCAACAACAGCATCAACGCTGCCCTCCTCGCCGCGCGTGTGCTCGGCTCTTTCGACCCGGCCATCCAGCGCAAGGTCGAGGCATACGCCGAGTCTGCCCGTGCTGAGAACATGGAGCTGAAGGGTACCAAGTTGCGCGAGCTGGGATGGCAGAAGTACTTCGATCAGATGTAGACGGTAAGTATGTACACATCTGTGATTTGAGATTTGATACGAGATTTTTATACGAAAGTGGACGCTGAAAGAAAAGGAGAAATGTGAGGGGATTTTGCCTTCGCTGAGCTTCTTGTACAGTGGAGTTCAGTTTACTTTTATAGACGACAATGAATGACTTTTAAGCTTATTTTATCTCCCACGGATCTGGAATACTCTAAATTCCTTATATCTTGGCCAAACTTTAATTGAAACGATTTAACGCAGACAACGGTGGCATTATGTATTAGGCTACCGTTAACTAATACTAGTACAAAGTAAAAAGACAAACGTCCGTAGTACACAAGGGGAAATCATAGCAAATAAACAAAAAGATCAAAAGAGGAAAGAAAATGACGTTACGCAAATATCATAACGATTTTGGCCACATTCAGTTTAGACGGTGGTTCCGATGTTGTTGATGGTAGTTCCGTTAGTGACGGTAGTGGCAGGGCCGTTAGGGACGCCGTCAGCGCCATTAGCACCGTCTCCATGCTTAACAGCCTCACCCAATTTCTGGGACTTGCCATTGACGAAAGCTTTGTCAACCTCATCGGAGAACCCACGGGCCTGGTAATCGGAGGCCTTCGTGCCATTGCCCGAAGCGGCGGCTGCGGTGGCGCCAGAGACACCCGCGGCGGAAGCAACTCCGGCGGCACCTGCACCGTCGGTGCTAGCGCCGTGGGGCTTCTTGGTAATGGGTCCACCGGAGGGGATGCCGGTGGACTCGGATGCGTTGCCGACGCTGAAGATGGGGCACTCCCAGCGCTCGCCCTTGGCAGCCAGATCGGCGTACTCGGTGGCCTTGGTGGATACAGCGCCGGGGAGCTCGATGTCAGGGAAGATGGAATCGTGGAGAGTCATCACGGTCTGGACCTTGGTGTCACGCTTGGCAGCGCCCTCGGCCTGCTTGGCCTTGGCTTGGGTGCGGGCTCGGATGGCATCGGCGTAGCGAGAGAAGATCGAGGGCGCGTTCTCGGGGTCTTCGCGGGCGGCCTCCTGGGCACGGGTGGCCTCGGTGTGGATGTCCCTGACGAAGAGGTCGCCCTTCTTGAAGGCCTCGCGGACCTGGCCTTCGACCACCTTCTGCAGGGCGGGCCTGACCACGCGGAACAGCATGGGCTTGAAGGTGTTGAAGAGCAGCTTGTGGCTGGACTTCTTCAGCTTGATATCCATGTTGCTGATGGACACATTCACCTTATCCAGCTTGAAGTAGTTCTCCTTGTCGTTCTTCTGGGCAGTAGAAGCGGCGAGTTTGACGCTGAGACCTTCTCCACCGAGGAAGATGTCCATAACACCACGATCGGTGATGGCAGGGAAGCCCTCCTTCTTCTTGATGTAGTAGCTGATATCGCGCAGATCAAGCTGAATGCCAGACATGGAAATCATGATCTTGTTGTCACGCTTGTTGGTGATCTTCTTGCGGCCCCAGCGGAAGTAGTTGTCGCTGCCGAACTCCACGACGTTGGGCATCAGGTTGTCACCCTCAAGGACAAGGTTCTCGACCACAACATCAACCATGGGATCCGAGACCTCAATACGGGGGATTGGAATGTAGCGGACATTCTCGAAGATGTTGGGAATGATGACATCGCGGAGATCCCGAAGGAGATCCGGCTTGAAGGTAGCCTTGCCACTGGCGTCGTGGCCAAGATCCTTGAACAGCTTCTGGCACGACTCAGCAAGGGCCTGGTTTTGCGGGTCCTGCTCGAATTGGTTGGCCAAGAACTTGACCTCGTCGACAATGCGGTCGGAGTGACCGCGGTAACGCTCGCGCAGGAGGTAACGGCCCTTATCGTAAAGCTCGTTCCACTGGCGGCTGCACTCGTCCTCCATGATGAAGCCCTGCTCGCGCAGAGATTTGCTATGTCTGGTCAGCTTTTATTCTGGGGGAAATTTTCCAATCCACATACCGAATCAAGGTGTCGACGTTCTTGAACCAGTTTCGGAGTTCGGGGTCCTTTTCGGCATCACGGTAGATAGTGTTCAGCGACTCGAAGAAGCTGTCCAGCGAGGTGTGGTTGGCAAAGCGTTCGATAAGAGTGCGCAAGTTCTGCTGAACAGCCTGAACATTGTCGGTCTTCAGGACGTCACGAGCAGAGCTACCGCCCTCCTTGGAGATGTCCTTAGTATGTCCGGCGTATTGCTCGGCCATGGTCAACAAGGTTTCAACGGCTTGCTGGTCTGCATGATTTGTTAGTAATATTCTCCATCGATGTCGAGATTATAACTTACAGTCAGCATGACCCTGGATCTCAATGATCATCTTCTTCAGGCGCCAGACGGTCTGCTCGCGACGCTCCTTGGGAATCTTCTCGGACAAGTACTTCTTGGTCTTGTCGGAGTACGCCTTCTTCTTGTCCTGCGCTGAGACTCCAGTCTCTTCCTCGGCGACCGCAGCGCCAGCGGAACCAGCGCTTCCCTTCTCCTGAGGCTATTGTCAGCATGTGCAAATTTGGGAGCGTATTATGGATACATACGCCCTTGTTCTTCTTGAATCTGGACTTCAGGTCATCCTTGGAGACATTGGGCTTCTCGTGCCACACGTTTTCCTCTGCGGCTTGGTCGATTTGCGAAAGCTCCTCTTCCGAAGGGCGGACCTGGTTGGCGGCCTTTTGAGAAGCATCGGCGGCAATGTCTTTGCCAAGAGTCATGGCGTCGTTCACTGTGCGTTGTTAGAAAATGTCCCCAGTGAACGGAAGTTAAACTTACGGAGTTTTCTAAACTCTCCGTTGGTGATCATGAGTGTGCCCAGGGTCTTCAGACCATCAACAGCCTTGCTAGCATCTTGCTGACCGGTCTCCTTGTCGACGGGGAGGCCAGGGCGCTTGCCACCAAGGTTGTCGCCTGAAATCTTCTGGGCTTGCCAGATAAAGTCCTGCAGGAGTTCACCCTCGTTCTTGACCAAGAGCATCTTCTTAGCTGCGTCCACGACATTGCGCAGGTCTGCCACAAGGGTCTTTCCGTCGGATGAGAGTTCATTGGGTGGGGATGTGAGGGCCTTTGAGTTCAAGGCGCTGTTCAGAGCGATGTCGCATTGCTTGTTCTGTGGCAGCGAGAGACCTAGTTAGCATTTGTGTCAAGGCCGGTGGCGCAGAAGAGGATTGAGACGGACCGAAGGAAGCTTGCCATTCTTGAAGGCTATAGCAGAGATAGTTAGCACGGCAATGGTCAATTGGAGTGTTGTGAAGCTTGACTTACCATGATAGATACCAAAGTATTGGAGCTTCTGGTTGATATCCTAGGAAGGGATTCCGTGTCAGTGGTGTGTCACAATGGGGTCGTATCACACGTACCTTCTCCTTCTGCTTAGAATTGGTGGGGACGTTCACAGACATGATGAAGTATGTAGCAAAGACCAATGATGAGGGGATGAGATAGCTAAAGAGGTATTATGTATGGACTAAGGACAGGGTTAGAGATCCATGCCCCAGGTGGATGTTTGCATTGATGACAAACAAGGGACACTTAAGGGACACTCACGAGGATTAACTATATTTATTGAACCTATGTAGGCACAAAACAAGGGGTATCACTGGAATGAAGGAAAATATGGGAAGGAAAATCTAGGTAGGAGGGAATGACGGAATATAAAAGACAGGGGATATAGCGCCATTATGATGATCCAGACAAGAGCAAAGACCAAGCAATGATCCCTACCACAATGAGGGATCAAAATGCCCACAAGAGTGTTCTCTGTTACCTAAAGAAGAGCTCTTTTTGCCCATAGCTGGTGATCGACACTTGACGTCACTCTTTCGTGGAACGTCTCTTTGGCCACGAACACGGACATCTGCTCCCTCCCAGTCTCGTTGCACATTTATTTTTTTTTTGTCACAGCCTAGAACTTTTTTGAACTTTTTAAACTATATTTGATTTGCTAGCTACTTGGGGCACATATGTACCTATGTACCTCTGCTGTGTCATATGTAAGGTCATATCAATCTCCACTCTCGTACGCACAGTAGGTCCAGGTCCACGTCATCCACTTTATCATCTTCATAAGGTTAGTACATTTCCGAGCTAGAGGTACAGCTTCCTAACTAAAATCCCATAAACCTCCAAAGATCTACTCCGTACAAACTTCCAAGGTTGACGAGATCGAGGTCTTGGCACACGCGCTCCATCATCATCCATGGGTCCATGTGGGTCCGATATCAGACTTTGCTCAACTTGACGTCAACACTTCGGATCTTCAATACGACATAGGGGAGACGGTAATTGCATTTATGCTACCTAGGTACTGGCTTTCTTAGCGTCCAAGTCCTCGATCTTGACGCGCTTAGCTTGGGAGTGGTTACGATTGAATCGTACTCGGTCAAGCTTTCAGCCACAAACAAAAAGGGGGTGTGGCTTTACGGGGCTGTTCACCCACTCCTTACTATATTGAGAATAGCGTCTCCATTCTGTTTCCACACTGTGGTTATCTTTATCTTGCTGATCCAGTTCGATCGATTCTGGTTCACCGATGTACGGAGTCCATTGCTCGTTGCCAGAGTCACGCGGGCGATCACATGAAGCACAAAGCCAATCATCCCAGATCATCCATGGATGATATCCCGGACACCTTCTCTTGAAACCTGATCGTCGGCCACTATTTTCTTGGGACACTCTACTAGTGCTTGTGCACGATGCCAGAAAGGGAAAGTTTTGGGTATCTCTTTTTCTCGGCAATTCAATTCGTTTTGAGTCCACAACGGTATATGAGCTGGCGCTCGAACCCTTCTCAGATATGATTATCGAGGGATTGACTTTACCAGAAGCTTTCAAGGTAGTGGAATTATGAAGTATGTGGCGCTTACTGAGCGATTCATCCACACGTTCTTCATCAGCATCGCATTACCAGCCACCAACTCCAACACCAGGCCACAAGAAATTTAGTAGACAACACCTTTCGAGCCCCATGAAAATGCCACTAACCACCAAGTAACTCAAATGTCCACAAGGACACAGTGCAAGGCCCACTACTAATCCACCATACATATATCACACCAAGGTTGTTACAAACACCACTCAAACAGCGCATCTGAAATATCGAACCAGACTAATATCTAATTCCCCCTACCCCCAATACCGTCTACTATCCTCCACAACCCTCCTCTCCCACCCCTCCTCAACCAACGGCCCAATAACCTCCACCACACTCTGCCCCTTCTCAAAAACCCTCCGACAAGGCAAATCCAGCGTCAAATTCTCCGGATTCCCAACACCAATAACCTCCTGCAACGCCTTCTCCGATGCCAGATACACCAACCGCCCAATATGCGCCCAGTAGATGGCGCCCGCGCACATCGCGCACGGCTCCCAGGTCGACACCAGCGTGCAGCGCGCCAGATATGCCCAGTCGTAGTTGTCCGCGGCGTTGCGCGCGAGCTCGCTTTCTGCGTGTCGCACGTGCGAGAGGGAGTTCGAGGAGAGGAGGATTGTTTCGTTATCTGGGGCTAGCAGGATTGCCGCAAAGGGTCGCTTTGTGTGTAGGTCTTGGGCTTGTGCTTGGTGCGTGAGGGCTGCGTCGCATGCCGCGGTGAGTTGCGGTTTTGTTAGGGGTGTCAGGGTTGGGTTTGGGGTGGTCATTGCGAGGTCTGTTTGTATTGTGGGACTGCGTATGGAGTATGGGTGGGTCGACAGGTGGGTGAGGATATCTGGGGTGGGTTCAGTGGGTTTGGGGGATCGTAGATTGTTATAATATCGTGCTCGGTTTGATATCTTGAGGTTCTCGGCGGTCTCCGACGATGCGAGATGACGGGTGAGCCGGGTACTACTTTCTCCTCATTTAGGTGAGACATTTAACACTCGACTGGTGTGATGGAGTATGTGTATGTCGTGCATTATATAGGTATCTACTATGTACAAAAAACATTCAAGAAGTCGTTACTTTATTTACATGTGGAATCGTCAGGGGTAGTCCGGGTTAGTCGAACCCGGACTCTGGGCAGCGGAGGAATTCCTTCTTAGCGGGTCAGTGGACGAGCCCTTGGAGGACACCCGCGCACGAGCGCGGGGGCCATACTCTGGGTTCTCTGTATCCGGCTGTGTGCGGGCATGATGTAAAGAAAGATCCACGAAATCCGACAGGTCGGTCGCGGCCGAGCTGCTGCCCATCTCGGTGATGTGCACCAATTTTCCCAGGATCGCATATTCCAGCTTGAGCTTGACGCTGTAGACCATTGCCTTGAGGGTGACATGGATATCGAAGAAGCCCGAGTACTGTACCCCGATAATGGCGGCGTCCATCAGAATCATGGCCACGTTCACGATCAGGAGTTGGACCAGGGTGCCTCGGTAGTCGCCCCTCGGGCGGAGATTCAGTAGTCGCACAGACTCCCAGGAGTAGATGACGGAGAGTATGATTTCTTGTATGGAGAATCCGACCAATTGGATGCGTTCGAAGATATTGAACCCGTGGATGAAGAGGGAGGATTTGTTCGAATGGCTGCCTATCTCGAGGACGAAGCCGGGGGTATGTAGGATGATGGCGTCGACGATGATCATGGCGAGGGTGCCACGGAGGACGGCTCGGCTGTGGCAGACAAGATGCAATCGAGACCAGAGGACTAGGGACTGGCCTGTTACCATCCCAACCCAAGCGACTAGTTCCATCACGAAAGGGAACATGCTGGTGTATATGTCGAAGATGATGAGGAGATAGCCGAGACCGAAGGGGATGATACTGAAGGAGGCGATGAGGAGACACCAAAAATAACACCCGCCATATCTTTTGAAGGTGCTGAAGCACAGCACGATCAATTCCAAGGCATTGTACCAGGCAATGCCGATTAAGCAAGCGATTATTGTACGCTCCGCGAATCGGTCACGGACGGAGCGATCAGCGAGGCTGAAATTGCTGCCGGGGATGTCGGCAAGCGACATGAGGACATCGCCGTTGATGGAAGCGGTATTGCGATACAATTATAGAACACCCATCGTAAGACCGAAATAGGCAGGATAAGGACATATATGTACAAGCGAAAGAAGCCTCCTGGATAAAGGGGATATATGAAATAGCCTCGGGGCGATACGAGGCAAAACGGCAGGAGGTGGCGGAGAAAGTCAACCCTGGAAATGATAGATAAACCTTCTTTAGATGATATAGATTGATCTCCATTGGCTTAGCCGAACAATAAAACCGGGGCCTTTTCGGGGCAACCCCGATACCGCCGACGCGGGCAAAGTTCTAATAGGACGCCTGCGCCTTAATCTTGGGGTTACCTAGGTACGCATCAAAGGTTATTGGATACATTTTTCGTCACGATCAGCATCTAATACGGGGTAATAATAATTATTTGCGCATTTGAAGAGATGAGGAGATGGGCTCTCGCTTTCTAGGACACTCTGAATTTTCCTTATATCATTACCATTTCCGGTTGATAGGTTGGAGATAAGAGACGGGATCCCTCGGGCAGGGATTATATTTGCTACATATTAAGGACTGAACACGGAATACGGTGTAGAGATAAACAGAGGTACAAATTCTACCAAGTCTACCCTGCATTGTACATCCCTGCCATTGCACTACTCTGTTTTCGGAAGCTGCTTAAATGCTAGCGCGAACTAGTGCTATAACGGTGACTTTTCCCGCTTTTATGACACTTGCTATAAATTTGTATTACATATGTCTACTCCGTACGGAGCAGTGTTCCCAGGGCTTACCCAAAACTCTCCAGTCTTAATTTACCCATATGATTCCATATGTGAATGTTAAGAATCGCCTCTAGCCGGGCCCTAGCACTAGCATTGAATCTCTCATCCTCAACCCCGTTCTGCCTAAAAATGCCTGGAAAATGCTGAGAATATTGTCACTATTTAATGCATCTTCTTCCCCCTACTCTGTATCCAGTGAGCTACTACAACTTATGGCAGACAGAATATGGCAGCACTACTCCCTCTCTCCCTCTGGAACTGCTCGCCATGATTACGTCTCTGCTAGATTCAGAACACTCAAGGCTCTGATGCTAACCAAGCGGACACTATGCGCCTTCGCAAGCAGCTATGTATTCTGCATTATCTCATTGTACGACGAGAATGAAAGCTGCGAGGCCTTCAAGTCCATCATGCACACACGGGTGGAAGAGCACGTGCGCAAGCTCTACCTCAACACTCGGACTATTTGAGCGACATATTACTGCTAGCATGAAGCAATGTTTGGCATTTTTTTTCTGTAATAGCTGGCTGATCTGTGACACAATCGGATACCGACTTAGAAAGGGAAATCGACCCTCCCCACCGACGACAAAAGCTGTTACCGATGTTATCAGGACTTCCCAATCTGGAAATTGTTTCTCTGCATTTCGATAAACACTGTGCTACGGATCCCTTTCCGCGGACAAGCCCCAGACAGAGCTAAAGCTATACTGGGCTATTGTTCTGAAATGGCTCTACGGAATTAGCGTTTTTGAAGCGACCGTTGGAACTCGCCATTCAGAATCGCTGCGTAACTTTCAAGAGCTATCACGACAAGCCCACAACACGTCTAGTCAACAAGTGTGTTTCCACAATAAGATCAAGCTCTTCACTGCAGTCGAACAAAGACGTTATCGAGATCGCAGCTCACTGGTCTGCGCAGCAAGACGGGACCATCTACTACTACTGAGACAATGCTCGCATGGCATACGCGCCTCTTTACAACTGATAACTGGGTGGCCGATTGGATCAGTTAGATCGACTGCTGAGCACGCTGACCTGAAGCAGGACCGATATGGGATTTCATGGCGACATAGGCGATTTGGTTCTGAAGGATCTACGGCTAACTTGCGAGATTGGGCAGCAAACAGACTGTGTATGAGGGCTTTTAGGGACCCTTACGATAACCGGTCTGATTGGGATGCAGCTTCCACCGCGTTAGCCCTCTGGTTTCCAACTCGGCCCATACCTATATTGGTATATATGTGCAGTATATAAGAACAGTTGGCCGCCGATACGGCCTTTTCATGTTTGTTTGGGTAGTCTTTTGGTAGTCTTTGGTGTGCCCTTGGATGTATTTTCTAAGATAGATTCTCTTCCCTTTATCGGTGCTATCTAGAAGGGTAAGAAGAACTAACTACCTAGGTATCACGATCTGCATATGCCACGTACTTCCATATCTAACCTTGTCATATCCATGGATGCCAGATATCGGCCAGAATATTTGAATCAATCAATTTTATCCACGCAACTAGTCAAAAGAATCTATCCCCCCTAGCACATCATTCCCGGGCAAAGTAGCGACATTCAAGCAAAGTAGGGCCACCCTCATGACTCTTTCTTATCAGTAGAACCCCGTCCGAAGATTCGATGCCGCCGGGACTTTGGTTTTGAAGGCGGGTTTGAAGGCTTTTGGCGCTTTAATGGACAAAAAGACCAATTTGCCAGCTTGATGAAGTAAGCTGAGCCCCGGAGTTCAACCCTGGTTTTGAAATCTCTCCTAATCTCCTCTTTATCTTCCTCTGGAAACTCGAAGCCCCGAAAGCCGATACAGCACTGACACTCTGTAGTGCAATGGCCTCTGCCTTTCTTCCTTTGTGATAGATTCTTCTCTTCTTCACACCTCTGTGCGCAGCATCCACATTGCCGGCTGCAGCATCCACCTCGATCCGAACAGTCCTGTACTAGTTCTTCTCGCATAAACCATTTAGGATCACGCCGTAAGTTATCGTAAAGTTCCTTAAAGTACGGTGTAAGCATAGATATGGCTTGGTAAAGGGAATGCTCCTTTCTTGCATATTGTAGTTGGAACTCTTTAAGCTGTTGATTCGTCTTTTCAAGCTCGGCCCTGGTAGACTCGGCAGCCGTGGTCTCGTCAGGCTGGAGCCGGTCAGACTCAATATCTATCGTCTTTTGTAAGGCCATAGCTCTATGGTGTAGCGTTTCCTCACGCTGCGACAGTTCGCACAGAGCGTGCTCGGCAAGAAGCACATCGGCGATTATTTGCCGGTAGATACGTTCTGATCCGTATATGAGAAGTTTATAATTCCCACCGACAAAGTAGAGAAATGCCATGATCGCGAGGGGAAAGCTTAGCAGAAAAAGATAAGAAAGCCTTGGAAAATAAGTAAAACATGAACATTAGAACTAGGACAAGATTGAAGGAAGTATAGAAAAACGATCCTCATTTATAGGCATCCCTGAGTCATAGTGTGATCACCCTCCGAAAATGGTCTAGTTGCGTAGAAGGTTTCTGAAGGTTCCAAGGTTGATGTTGCTGACTTGTATACCATGGATATATCCATGGATGGATGTATGTACCTAGGAAACTAGGCGGGCTGGTCTCGAAAACTACCTAGGTAGTGTACAAAGACCAGATATGGCACGCAAATTGATCTTGTGGACAGTGATCTGCAAGGGCTTCTTATTTCAACTTGGTGCTTTTTCGGTGATACCTAGGGCTAAAGTTTTTATCAATAGCTATCGACAAGAAACAAAACAAAATGGAAAGGTGGTTGTTGATACATCGAACCATAACTTATCCCATTTAATATTTTGGGGTGGCCACTCGCATGTCAAATAGGTAAAGTGTAGGGATGTCTAGTTTTGGCCTGATGAAAATATCGGCTGCCGTACACGCAGTCGACACCTGGGACCTTGGGACCTCTGGGCTAAACCTTTGTACCTACATATTACCGCCCTGTATACCGCCTACCCGTTATATATTATATACTATCATGAATACCGCCTCCCTTTTCCACATAGTACTGCCATAAGAATATATAGTCGGCCGCTTATCCGGCTGTAGCCATATTAATGGGTTCTCAGGTAGTCTTCTCCGGCAGACTTCTTAAATGTCTTTTTATTGGTCTTTTTAGTAATCTCCTTACTTTTGACTGCTAACGGTTGGTGCTGAATCACGTGCCTACACGCTAGGAGTTTTAGTCTGGCAGAACAGGCAGAATTTGGCGGGCGGTATATCTGGGTACAAAGGTTTAGTTAGCCCAATATTTCGGAGGTCCTACTGTACAAGGGTGTTTGGGTGGCGACCGGCTTTCTACTCTGAGAACCATGGCATTTATATTAAACACCGAGGTTGAAGCCTTGTTTAAAGGAGAGAAGATATCATAATCCTGGAAGTCAAGCCCAATCGTGGACAGATCACATTGCATACTAGCTCTCTTGAGTGAAGTAATATAGCATATAAGAGTAGGCAGTACAATATAATAGAGGAATCCAATAAATAATATTTCCAATAATAATAACAAAACAGAAGAGCACAACCACCAACACTAACACCAGGGTATAAATAAAGAAAAACAGAATCCAAAACACCCAGGACAAACAAACAATCCAAAATCCAACAAACAACGACGGGCCAAAAGGGGCCAAAAAGGGCCAAAAAGGTCCAACGAGGTCCAACAAGGGCCAACATGGCAAGCGCCATGTATATACAATAATCAACAGCAGGGGGGTACGGCCTGCGTGAGGAAAAGGATGAGCGAATCCACCATCCCGGCCGGTTCCGGGTTAGGTGGTAGAGAGAACACGATCAAAGATTTATTTTCCGCCCCGGAGGGCACCGACGACCTCGGCCAATGTGCTGGCCTTCTTGGACTTGGGCGGGACAGGAACCCATCGGATCACAAAGCTACCGCAGTTGACGTCTTCGAGCTTGGCTTCCGCTTCCGCCGTAGAAGTACCAGACTCCTCCACAATGATGTGGAGAACGGGGAGGCGGGTCGCTCCGTCGCTGCCCCTGCCAGCGGCCTGGACCATGGCCTTTTCGGCCTCTTCAATCTTCCTAACTTGTTGGAAGAAATCGTCGATCAGTGCCCTTTGTGGGTCACTGAGTCTGGCCTTATGGGCCCAAAACCTGGACATACATTTCATTAGCATGACGGACCAACACGACAGAAAACAAAGCAGGCTGCACATACCGAATGGCCAAGACGACCAGGGCCACAACAACGACTAGGCCAATGAGGCCATAAGCGCCAGGGAGCACGGCATTCAGCCAGGCAGGAGTTTCGTTCTGTGTGCTATTGGTTGCCATTTTGGAATTCATGACTTATAGACTTACAGACTTACATTACGCGCGGGGGGTAGGGGGGTTTACTTATATACCTACAGGCAGGCACGTAGATCACGGCCGTAACTTTGATTAAGTTTGAAGTGATTCCAAGCTGAAATGATTGATCTTTCCAGTTATAGGCGATTTTTATAAAATCTTGAGGCTTCCGCATTGCAAGTAGATGTTGAATTTTCAAAATTTCAGTTCTAATCGAGATAAAACTCATTACAGGTTGAAGGATCAGTGAGAGTAGATTGAAGCTGTTCTGATCAAATAGTCAAGTTATACTAAATGAACCATGGTAGCCTAGGAATTAAGCGAATTGTAGAATCCTGGCCAATCAGAATTTGAATATTGTCATGTTTGATCCTCGCTGTTCAACTATGACTGGTGAGGAGATATTTGACAGGCGACCTTATTTCAACCTCATCTCTATAGTAGTGAGGTCTGTCTAGCTTCAATCTAGAAAATGCACAGAAGATCAAGGAGTTTTCTTTTGTATATGTTTGATTACCTTTTTTTTAATATTTCTTTTTAGAGTTTTGCATGTCGTTCCTTCCTTTTCGGTGTCAGCTTGGATGAATAGTATTTGTGGATACATACACAATGAAGAAGGTCAAGACAGGCTGACTGTCTATCTGGTGCGTTGGACCCTCTATTGATATTCTTGAAGACGTGTACACGAACGCTCCTATGTTCAAAACGGCGTTCTCATGCTGCTCTAGTACCTCGCACCCATTTTGTCGCGGTTTCAGAACGGCCAACAGATCCAGACCCTGGAATTTGGAACTGGACCCAGTGACACAACCAAGGGCAATGTTAGTGCCCTTGTTCCATTGGAGAGTCTCACAGATACGTTCACTGGCATCACATTGTCGCTAATGGCTACGACCCGCCCAAACTTCAGTCGTCAATTTCGGCGCTTCGCTGTCTCGGACACTGAGAAAGACCCGGGATCTGAAATGCTGCGAGCTTACGATACACACCCGCGATCCGACCCACGACGCACATTCGGAAGATGTTGCAACCGGATGTGGTTCTTTGCCCGGTAGAGCTCACACAGTGGTCTTCAAGCGAATTGATGGTCTGGGTGTGGAGGCGGATCTACACTATCCAGGGTGAGCCTTGACTATATGTACATAGGGAATGATGTCTTCGGACTAAACGTTTAGGATTGCTGTCACGAAGATAGATGGAGGGATAGATCAATGGCGGGCGTCAAAAGTGGATTTCGCACTCGGGAAAGCTGGGCATTGCGAGTGCCAGTTTTTGCTCACATGTCTCGGATGAAACTCTCACTCACTTTAGTCCCATTTAATGCGAAGGAGATGTCGTCAGAAATCTTGACGGGAAAGATTTTCGCTGGGCTGCAAGAGCGTGCCACAACCTCGCATTCGATAGCCTGCCTGGTTGGGGGTAGGCACCGTTTATCGCTTTGACGTGGATTCCAGGCAGACAGCTTCTATTATAGTCACAACATTTTCCGAAACAAGCTCTTAGAGCAAATTGGCGAGTTAAGTTGCGTTGGTGTATGCGTCATTCACTAGGTGTACCGAAGCAAACATTATTTCCGATGCCTTATTCATTCAGGAAAGCTCATCATACAAGAGCCACCGCTATAGAACATTTGCGAGAACAATAAATCATAAAGATCCACCAAGTTTAGAATGATCTCCTTCCAAGAAACACATATCAGAGTTATCTCAAGCAAAAAAGGTCTTTCTAATATCCTCCTTTCCAAAATTAATAAAGCTCCTTTTACTATAGACCTATTATCACAAAATTACTTCTAAACGCAGAATAAAATATAATAGGGTAAGTGCACTTTCCAACAGCCGGCTAGTTTCCTTCGACTCCTCCACCAGCATCTTGTCCTATGACCGAATCCGATCCTTTAACAATAAGGGAGACAACGGGCGAGGCAAAAGTGTCGCAAGCTAATCCAGTCTAGTAAGGAGTACAGGGAGACACAGATATTAAGTGCTTCCATCTACGGCTCTAGAGAATTCATTTTAGTATTACAGTATGTTGTGAGAAAGTCGCCCTTACTATTTGATTGTCAATATATGGTATCATGGTAGTGGCCGGTTCTGCACAATGATGCCAGTGGACAGGAAAATCATGTATCAACAAAATTACGCCCAATTGTTTTGTAATCGAATTTGGTTGCATTTTTGAATCTCGCCTGAAGATAACTCTTCGGTGCCCAACGCGGGGCATCTGCTGCCCGCGTCCGCGTATAAATTACATGATCACATCCACATTGGGAAATGATGGAGCTAAATAGTGGGGAGAGCCCTGGAGTTAAGAATAGGTGACATAATACAAGGATAACCTCCAGGGCTTGGAACGTATCTCACATGACAATAATTTCGGGAGGCGCCTTAAACAATCGACTTCAACATATTCTCGTCTTAACTGTCTCTACAACCAGCACTGTTTCTACAACCAGCTTCAAAGTGAGTGCAGGGTCATCTCTATATCCTATTTCCTTAACCGGAACGCCTATCATGGAGGAAGGAGATACTTGGATGAACCTATTTTTCTCTGGCAGTCGTCCAGAAATACTGAAAACAAGCGAACTTAAGGGCCAAAAATTCCGACCTTTCTGTGCTGAAGACGACAATTGGGAACTAGGAGCCAAGGCCGACAAATCAAGACCATCGGATGCGAACACTATACAGGTGTTTTGGCTTCGCATCAGGGGACACAGAAAATATATCGCCAAAGTCGTAAGTGGAGACAATCATTATATGCGTGCTCCGATTAATCATTTACTAGTTTCCTTGCTATTCTAAGCACGATGCTAAGATACGGCTTCATCGTGTTGGAGTACCACTGACTCCCGAAACGATAAACGATGCTGTGTACGAGTTCGATAGATTCTATCGGGAGGCTCGGGCATATAGCCATATTGACCTATGCTGTCCCGCGTGTGAAAGAATCTATTTCCCACAATTCCACGGAGTGATCACCGACATATCAAAATCTCGATTTTCTTCTGGGTATTACCATGAACGAGCGGTTGTGGTAGAGGCAATAAAACCGGACTTATGTTCTCGACGTGTTCTTAGTGAAGTTGTCAATTCCCAGTCTGAAAGCTTCTTAACTATCCTAAGAACGCTCTCTGAAAGGTTTTGTACCACTCCTGGAGTGATTCTTCTAAGCCCATTCGAGCAAGAGTGGTATCATTCTTTACTAAAAGACCGACTTCGTCGCCTGGATGCTTTACATCGAATTGGCATAACCCATGGCGACATCCGCGATCACCACTTTCGACTCCCTGATGACATTTACGATACGGTTCTATATGACTTCTCAGAATCGTACACTTTCTCTATGAAGCAGCCTTTTCGGGTAAATGGCGGGAGACCTCGACCTTTAAGCCTTATATCAGAGGGTGAACGCGAACGTGTCCTTTTGCACATCCTCAATCGGTAAGAAAGGAGACTTCGTCATTCGTATCATCACTAACATACTTTCAGAGCCGCCTCGCGAGATCTTCGTTCCCATCTCATACATTTCAACAGTAAAGCTTCGGTTGCCGGCATCGACTCTAAACACACTTCTTCTGTTGACAACGCACTCTGGCAATCTCTAGATAAAGAGGAGGAATTGTTAGAGTTAATCATACTAAAAGTCTCCTATCACCCAGATGGTAGGTTTTGTTGATCCGTTCCAATATATTAGATGTTGATTGCTAACTAGCTAGCCTTTTCGATGCCGACCTTGAACTCCATTTTTCCTTTTCTGGAAGCTGTCTGCCCAAACTCTGACCTCTGCTGGCATATTCGTCGAGGCAGGCTTTTATGTCATTACGAGTCAGTTTGGGCAGTCTTTTGTGAAGATAAGGCCCATCCCGAATTACTCACTTTCGATTGTGAGCCGCAATTTGGAAGAATCGAGAAAATGAAGGACTCTCGTTTTATACTTTGCTTAGTACCACATTCGTGGGGGATTGCGTCATTGAAGACGGACTCTGATTTTGCCGGACTTGATAACCTACGAAAATTTTGCTCAAATTTTGTTTCAGCAAAAAGTCCCGGAGAAATCTTTAGTCGAGCCGAATTTGGAAGGGGAATCTAGAGCAGCGGAGGATATGGAATCTTGAATGATAATGACTTTGCCCTTAGTGAGCAAATCAGGGTGCTAAGATGATGATCAGTGAGTGGATCAGGGAGCTCAGGGGATGATCAGGGGATGATCAGGGGAGTTCATGCCGATCGCCATGAACTATCGACTCTGACCAGAGGGCACGCTGACCCGGGACCTGATGGAAGATATTTAGGCCTGGGTCCGAGCAGTACTGCCTACCGTCCGCTTACGACGCGCCGACAACAGAACCGATGGTTGCCATGTCGTCAGCGTTGACTAATCCACTGGCAGCCACTTGGCTGTATCACTGGGGTGGAATGAATGGTACACCACGACATATTGAGCCTCTATATGCCATCCTTGCCTTCTCTGCCCTCTTGACCACGAAGACGGGTTTTAGCTACACCCCAACAAGTCGAGTAGATCGGAAAGCACCAGCGCAACGTACGAACTAATCAAACTACCTTGCCTGCCATGATACACAGACCGATCGCGAGCTGCAGTGTCTCCCAACTAAATGAGCCATTGAGGGCTAGTTGTCCGCGACTGAGGAGACTGAATTGTGTAGTAAGTTAGCACTATACATGAACTGGAACAGCCGTTTCGCTCCGCGCCCTCCTACATGGCCTGGGACTGACACGGCGCGAGGAACCAGAGCCCCCCCAATGAGGAAGCGATTAGGGCTGTTAGTCCATGGTCGCAAATCCGTGGCGGTGCGCACTCAACACCAACATTTCCCATCCACCCTCGAGATCGCAAGCTGATCCCGTGTCAGCAAGAGCAGCGTACGTACGAAGCACTCCAGAGACGAGAGATCAACAGCGGCTATGTGTCGTGGAGGTTGCGACACACCTATTTATCATTTATCGCGGGTGTCAGGAGCATGAAGACGTTCGGAATATCTGTAATAGATATAGAAATCATAGAAATTGTAAAAAGTGTACAAATTATAGAAAGTGTAGATATGGTACAAGTAGAAATTATCGCTAGTATTGAATTTTTATACCTTCTTCACTTTCTACAATTATCCGGATTAGACATGTTTATCAAGTTCCAAGCTTCTGCGATCTGCTTAGCCGGCTTGGCCAAAGTATATGAGAAGTAGTGAGGAGGACGTATTAGCAGTTCGCACTTAGTGTATCATCGACAGACCTCGGTCTACTAGTATTGTATTTTGTTAGCTCCTGGTATCAGAGCCGAGACGCTATAGTAAAATGTCTCAACCCCCCCCGTAATACGGATAACCCCCAAATACCACCCGATTTCTGTATTTTCTGGCAAATACTCCTCTATATAACTACCGACAAAGTCCACCACTGGACAACAGAGGCCCACTGAATACCCATTGTCAATTTTACAGTCCATTCCTATCCCCGGCTTCCCCAACAACGGCCCCATACCCCGGAAATAATTACGAATCCCCCAGGCTGCGGGGTCAAAATGGATCCCTTTTATCTGACATTCTCCGCTGTCTCCAGTGATTTCAACGTGGCCTGTTATCTTGTATGATATTCTGCACTATGGCTTCACCCGATCATGCCACCCCTGGGGCTTCCCATCCAAAATTCGGCTCGGATTACGCAGAGAAAGAAATCGGCGCCATCTACCCTGAACCGGCTGCACTTCTTTCAGAGTCGCACAAATCATACTTGCTTGAACGACATGGCACCCTGGACCTTGATCCGATTCCTAGTATGGATCCAGCGGACCCATACAACTGGCCCTCGTGGAAGGTCAGTGGGAATGGCACAGTCTTCTGAATTCCAAGCTAATAGCACGGCAGAAATCAACCAACTTGGGCCTCGTTGCGTTCCATGCTTGCATGGGTACATTTACCGCGGCAGCTATTATCTGTGCCTATGAAGATATCGCAGAAGATCTAGGAGTCTCTATCCAACGAGTCAGCTATTTGACCTCTCTACAGATCGCAATTCTGGGAGGTGCCCCATTATTCTGG